CCTCCAGTTTTTGTGGAAATCATCTTTATGCAAAGACAGACTGAAAGCTGTTCAGCAAGCTCCTTTTATCCATCCTCTGTCATCCTCTTACTCAAAATGAGGGGACAAAATGAAAACAGAAACAGATATTAATTTTAGGCAAGGTGTTACTAGCTTGGAGGACATAATTGACCTCAAATTGTAATTTTAAAATGCACTTCAGATGTACAGAACTAGTCCAAAGATTAGGAACAGAGCATGCAAATAGCAACATAAAAGGAACATTCAGAGCAAATGTGTCAGCTCATGCCTTTGGGACACTTTTGTCTTCCTTGGCAGCATGTTCCACAGGCTTCTGTTGTCCCTCTGTTAAGACTGTCTGATGAACAGGCAGCAAAATTACTCCAGAACAAGCAGATACAGAGCTGGGAGTTGGCAGTGCCTCACTTAGAGTGGAACTTACCTTGCTTACAAGGTGTGGCTGTTGTCAGTAGTAGGCAATAGCCCCTCAGTCCATAGGTGAAAGTCACAGCTGTGACAGAAACAGCAAAGACATATGTCCAAGGATGCTCTTTAGGACAAAGGGTTTTGACCCAAACTGTTAAGAAAGGGCTTGTCTTATTCTTCGTATGCTTTGATCCGTTGTTGTTTATCAAGTAGTAGTAGGGAAAGGGGGCTTTTACTTCTCAGTTCCCTCAAGATCTACACTAACCAGAAAGAGGCCTCTGTGAAACTACTCCTCCCGTCCGTTCAAGTGGGAGTGGAGGGTGTATTGAAGAGGGAGGATATCAATGTCTTTGAGAATGAATACTTCAAAATGACCACTGCTCCCCTGGTGCTTATTTCACCCAGCCAGTGGGAAGGAGCCAGTTAAAGCTGTTGTGTTGGAGGGTCAGGAGTCCCTTGTCTGTCACGTCCAAGCACCAGAGGTTAGCGCTAAAAGTAATTTGTGGGGCTGTTTAATTTTGACTCTGAAGGAAGCTCTAGCAATGGTGCATGGCAGAGGTGAAGCATACACACTGTGGTGCTGGAGGTTTTATTTACAAAAGGAGTTTATTGCCTGTTTTCTATCCCTGCCTCTCATTGTCCTTGTTTGTGAAAGCATGACTTGTAGATTAGCAGAGGCACAGGACCTCGCTCTTCCAAAGTTACTAAACAAGCACTCAGGGTTGAGTTTTTAGATTAATCTGTTTTCACTATAAAAAGTGGTTCCTGGAGGAAGTTTGATTTCAAGCTGTCTGTGGTACATTCTTCCTTGGGCTTCATATGCATCAGAAAACTTTGGCTAGATCTGTTACCCAGGAAGCTTGTTCCCAGGGCTCCAGGGTGCACTTTTGCTGTGGAAGGACATGAATGTGGCGATTTTACATTGCACTGCCGAGCTCACACTACTCTAACGTAGGCATCAGCAATCTGTCAGGGCATCCCCTGCAGCGCAGAGATACCCTTTAGTGGTACAGGATTTCTGTGCCTAGGAAGAGCTCTCCATCAACATCTTTGGATAAATTTCATAATTCTCTTTCAGATAATTTACACTCTGTAACAGAGAATTTGGACAACACATGAATTGATACAGCTGTCTCATTTTGGTGCTTTCCCATGAGTTCATTCGTACTTGAGTTTAAAGCTTTGGTGACTGTGTCTTTCCTCTGTGTGGGTACAACCTCTAGCACAATGGGATTCAGGTCTGGGACTAGTGCTTCTAGATACTACAGTAATGCAAATAAATAACTGCCAGTGGAACCCTGGCCTAGTGCCTCTAGACACCTATATCATACTGGGAGTGCTGATTTGCCTTTTAATTTTATCAACCTCTTTAAGACTTGGAAGCACGCCTTGTTATAGAGGAAATGTCCACACTGTGAAAGCAGTGATGCCAAGTCATTTCCCCAAATGACTTTCCCTTTGGGTGGTAAAGTGCATTTTTCTGGTTTATTTTCATTCCCTCATACTCTCCATCTCAAGAGAAAGATTTTTATTTTTTTTTTGCCTCTCATCTACAGTTTAATTTCCATATTGTTTAGTTTAGGAGAAGGTAATTTCATACACTCTGGAAATGTTTCCTACGCCCCGTTAGTGATTAATACCAATAAAGCTAAAGACAAAACTTAGAGGATAAATGATACATACCGACCAATAGGATTTCCTGTAAGAGTTTTAAAGGCTAATGATCCTTGAAATTTATAAAATAAATTGCTTCATTAAAAACTATTTTACAAAATAATTTCTTCCTAGCAGCATATTTTCTTCAAAACCCTTCCCCCTGTGTAACTACACCTGGGTAGTAAAATTTGATTCAGTGCTGTTCGCATGGGGCCACAGTGAGATGCCCTGATTATGTTTGTGTTCCTCTGCCTCATCAGGGGAGCCGGCTTGGGGCTTAAAATTAGAGACATGTTCAAGGCAAGTCTGTTGGAGTTTACTTTTTGCCCAGAGGAGAAAGTGCCCTTCTTTCTGGGACAGCAACAAGCATGTTTAAACATGAGTGACAAGAGCTTTTCTTTAGATGGGTACAATGCTTGTGAGTCACACACATGGCTGAAACCACAGCCATTCTGCTCTAATTAAAGAGACTACACCAAGAATGCGTAATAATTAGGTTAGCGTGTAATACACCATCCATGTCAACAGCATCTGCCGCAAAGGTTGATGGAAATGTACTCATCCTCCAAACATTGTGCTCCCTGTTAGAGCTCCCCAACTAATTCATTACTGTCCTGTCATACAATAACATGACTCCACAGAGATCTGCAGAAAATTATAGCAAAGACTACATATAAATCTGCCCTGGTTTAGTATGGCTTGTAACTTTAGTGGAGGAAAACCACCCATATAAACATAAAGATGAGAGATCCCTCTCCTAATTAAGATGTATTACAAAAAAAAACCTGTTGTGGGAATGCTCTGTATTTTTTTTTCAAGTTGTCTGTTGTTGTTTAGTTTGAACAGGCACAATGCTTTTGAGCTATGAGTGTTTATCAAATAAACCACAGATTATTTTTGCTTGTGTTTTTGAAGTATTTAATGACTAAGAAGACGTTCTGCTGCCAACCTTGTTTGCATCAGGGCGTTTCTATGCTTTTGCTGTGGCTTTAGGAATAGAGTCGGTTGTTTGGAAGTGGGAGAGGTGGTTGACTTTATGCATGAGAGACATGGGAAAAGTGTTTGAGACCTGGTTAATATTGCAGTGCACCAGGCAGGGTCCAGCAGGTCGCTTGACTGTGGTTTTGGGTACAGCCTCTGCAGAGCTGGTGCTTGGAGCCCACTGGGCAGCTTTGAAGCAGAAACCAAGAGCTGCAGGAGCCCAGTGGCTGCCACCCTCACCTGAGGGGCAGCTTGGAGGACCCAGCAGATCTGCTGTGCACATGCAGTCAGCTGTTAATGTAGCTCTCCACACCAGAAGAAAGAGAAATGGCCCAGCCAAAAGTGTCAGTCACTTCTGCCAAAGCAGGCTTGTCTGTGGGTGGCTTCTCTGGCCAAGCAGAGTCAGCCTCGTCAAGCTTGGGCTGATTTAAGCTTATGCTTGCTGACTTGGCAAGGAAGTTACGTGACAGCCCTCTCACAGGCCCTTGCGGTGTCTCAGCTGGGTAGCAAGGGGCAGGGAAAAACATTAATATATTGAAACGAATCAGCTAAATGTACTGAAGTAGAGCTGCAGGTAACGTAGTCCTTCTCCAGGGGAATTTGCTTAAGGTTTTGCCACTAATGTTGGTAGGAGCAGGATCTGGACGTGAGAAAGTTCACACGTGCTTAAGAGCATGTAGAAGCCTTTTTAGAGCTGCTGGCTTGTGTGTTGTCACATTCCCTTAATCATTAAAAAAGTGTGTTTTAAAAATGCTGCAGGCAGCCAGAGCTTCTGCATCAATGTCCTTCCCTTTTAGGAAGCAGTTCGGGACCCTCTCGGGGAAGGGCTGAGCTGAACCCACGCCCGGCGAGGCAGGGGCTGCTGGTACAAGAAGGTGGCAGAATGAGCAAACTGTCACAGCCAGCCCGCGCAGACAGGAGCACTGGCTGCTTGTCACCATTTCTAGCACTAGCTTGAATGACAGATAAACCCATCTAGCATTTTACTGTGCTGTGTCTTGTCATGCTTTGTCTTTTTGTCTTTTTTCTAGTTGATGTAGCTCTTTGGGTGTAGCTGCCATTATAGCTACAGTTCTGACTCTCCAAGCATGCTTCATACCACTGCAGAGCACGCTGTCCTTAGCAGGAAAAGTCATACTTGGACAAGCATTTTTTAATTGCTATAATTAGGTTTGAATGATAGAATAGGACTCTTTTAACTCTGCAGACTCTGTTAGGTAAGTAGGCAGCTTCAGTGGGGATGAAAGAGCTCTGCAGCAGTGTGGCTGCTCTTGCATCTCCTGCCCAGGTGCACGTGTGCTGCTGAGGATGGTAGGTACTGTGTCACGCTTGCACATCTGCCTTTCTGTCCTGTTTTGTGCTGATCCTCCAGGTTAGCATGGCAGTAAAGACCTAATACAAGTGTGCTGAGACACATGGATTGCACGCTAATTCATTTGAACTCCTGGTTTCTGTTTCCAGATTTTGCTCACCAAGCTGATATTTGACATTAAAAGAGAGGAATGCTCACTTTCTGTATCTGGTTTGAAGGACCAAGTCAGGAAAGGATCACCTGTGTGCTCTGTTGCTCATGACTGTCGTGTAACCATTCACTAATGATACTACTGGAAAACAATTCTTGGTCTAATCTACTGAAGCAGTTCTTACATAGTCTTAGGTGCTTAAAGGTTCTTGTTATATCATCTGAAGTGTGAGGGTTATTATTGGTCAAGGTGAGCCACAGACATCCCTCAAAGAACTATCTAGGAAAGCAAAAGAGAGAATGGGAAGATCATGTTAAAATGCACTTGAGAAATACAATTGCTTTAATGAACATATCTTCAGGAACAGGAATGTGCAGATCCTATGTTTGCTCTAAGATCTCCCACTACCCCTGCTGCCCAAAAAAGAAAAATAACATCAAAGTGAATGTAAACAAACTGATTTTCCCCTAACAGGACACTACCACGTCTGTGCGGATAGGTCTTATGATGGAAGAAATGATCTTCAACCTTGCAGATACACATCTGTTCTTTAATGACCTGGAGGTATGTAGCTGCTTATTTTATTTAACATCTCTCTCTGTAATCATTTGCATCTGGTTCACAAACCTGTTTTTCTGGCCAAGAAACTTTCATTTATGACCCCAAAGAAATGGGCCTTAGATGGCTTATTGGAAGCATACTTTGCTGTGTCCCTTTGACATCTTCATTCTGTTAACGATGATGCCTTTTGGCAATTTTACTAAATCTAGTAATTAGGACATTGCTGCTGCTTCTCCTGAAATTTGCTATTTAAAAATTTTATTAAGCTGAATTTGCATAGATCCTATGGGGCAGGTAGCAGTTAGCTATGAACCAGTGCAGAGGTCTTATAAATTATCTCTGTTCTTGAGGAAGCTCTGTTTGCACACGCAGAGCAGGAGGTCTGCTCAAGCTGAGGCACACTGCAGGGTGAAACTATGGGAGTTTCAACATAAAAGATGAAGAGGAAGAGTCTTTCCTGTATGTGGCATGGTTAGATCTGACTGTGTCTTATAGAAAGCAAAAATCCTTTTGAATATACAACAATATTCAAGCAAAGTGACAGTAGCAAAATTCTGTCGCCAGCTGAGAAACAACACTCCTGAAAATTTGTTAGCATTTGCAGTCAGTAGAAGTTGTGTGAATGAGTCCCAGGCAAAGCAAGTTAAGATGAGGTTTGTGCTGTGGGCACCTTGGAGTCAGAATACTGCTTGGAGGTGTTTGGAGGGAAAAAATCTTGGCATCCATGGGCAGACTTCTGTGCTATTTTTCTTCACTTGAAAAAGAAGAATTTGTTTCTGTGCCAGATGAAATGAGAGACCTTTTTCTGTGCCTGATGAGTTCAGTGAGAACTTCTGGTTCCTTCACTGCTTAATTGCACTGTGGTCCGCTGCGTTACAGGAGGTACAACCTTTCCTGCCACCTGTCTCCTTACAATCTGAGGTTTCACTTGCTGAGAATTTTAATTTCCTTTCGAAGACAAGTAGTGGGTAGCACCTGAACTGACAGATTTTTTCCTCTTTCAGTTTTTTTCAAAGAGGGAGTTGGTGATGAGGGTAGAGGAAGTGCAAAGTGAAAAAATCCTTCTCAGAAAAAAACAAAAAAAACCCCAAACCAGCTGCTGCTTATGAGTCTAGAGCACTACATAATGAGTGATATTTAATATTATACCAGCACTTCCCACCCATCAGATACTGACATATGACACATCAAAGCTCCACATCCTGCACAAATTCACCCTCCAGAAGCCCTCTGCATATCTAGACTTTTGCAAGAATATAAGTTGGCAAATTATTTTAAAACAACCTTTCTCTTTGCTTCACTTACTGCTCTAAAATGTGAAATAAAGTAAAAAACTGTGTGTCCTCACTCAAATTCTGCACATTTATCAGTCAGTAACAGCTTTGGCTGCTAGAAGCGGAGTCCTTAGATCCATTTTGTGTCATATGGCCTCTTAAGTTCTTCAGCCAGTACGGCAGAGCAAAGATTTTAATTATAAAAGTTAGTACAGTATGTTTCTTTTGTGGTTTTGAGACATTAAGGACACACAGGTTTGAATATTCGCAAAGTGATACTTAAGGATCATACGTCACCGAGCACTAGACTTAAAAAGAAAACGTAGTGAATGATAGTCTTAAAAAAGAAAAAAGAAATTGGTAAAAAACCAGCACAGAAGCTGATTCAGTTCCAGACGCACAAACATTACTATATACATGAGCACCATCATGTGGTATAATACCGGCCTGTTCGAGACAAAATAAGCTAAAATCACAGGGGCTGAAACCATTTCTGACCATCTTCTGTGTTGGGGCAGGGTGAAACAAGCTGTAACCGAGAAAGCAGTAGGATAGGTGCCCCATTCGAGACCAAAGCAAGAGTGCTCTCACCAGATAACGCTAAATGGAGCAAGACTTTTCTCTGGCCCAAATCCATAGCCAGGTTTGGGCACGTGGGGAGCCTGGCAGGCTGTTCAGAGCCAACCAGAGCATGGCTGGTCTCAGTCTTGACAGCGGAAGCAGGGGGAGAAGCGGAGGAATAGTCATCCGTCCTCACCAGAGAGGCAGGTGGGGCAAGGAAGTCACTTACTACCTTGCTTTGGCACAGGGGAATGACTGATTTTGATTTTGCTGGCTGCGCTTTTCAGTGCTGTGCAGAGCAGAAGGTGCTGCAGGGGTGTAAAGCCCTTCTGAAGCAGTCCCAGGAAGCGCCTGATGAGGATGAAACATTTGTCCACAGATAGAGCAAGGTTTGCACAGCCCTAAGTGGCATTTGTGTGATCCTCCTCAGTCTGGTGAGGATGTGATTTCACACTGTGGCAAAAAAAAATGGCTTCAAAGTCTGAGTGAGGAGCCTGAGCTGGAATACTTCATTTTTTTCTATAAAACAAATTATTCTGGGACTCTGTTGTTAGGCAAGGCTTTATCTGGTTTTAGGGCTTGCTCAGAAGGGATTCAGGTGACTGTTTCTTGGATGCATTTTTCCTGCTGTGCTTGGGAGAGGGAATCTTGGACATGTGAGAAGGTGAACCAGCAGATCCATTCGATAACCTGCTTCAGCGCCTCCCTTAGTGCTTCAGCCTAGTAGAGAGGCCAATTTCCCATTCAATTCACCCCAAACCTCAGGCTAGCTGCATGGGAGGAGGCTGAGCACTGCTCCCCAGGGCAGGTGGGTGTAGTTTTGCCACACTAATTCATCCACTCATGTAGCACATGTCTGTGGACCGCATCATCTCTGCTTGCAATTGCAACAGTACGGGGAGATTAAATCCCTGTGGTCTGCAAGTACAGGCCGTGCAGCGGGTTCTGATCACACTGCAGAATATATCAGCCAATATTCCCCTGAAAGGAGGTCAAATTGGGGAGGGGAGGGTGGGGCGGAAAGGAATTGTCCAAGGTTACAGATCACAGTGAAGTTAAAATATGACCTCAGCTTTCAGGGTTGTGGTTTTTTCTCTCAGTTGTCTTTTGTTTGCAGTGCGATGCTGGCTAAAGCCTAGTACCTTCTGCCTCTAGTCCCTCTGGAGATATTATTGTCTAGCACTCTGGAAAACAGGTATTAAGGACAGAAGGACTGACAAGGGGATAAGGAATTAACAAACAAGGGGATTAGTATGTTTACAAGTTACTGCCTTTCAGAGCCATCCGTGGAGGTTTTGTATTCTGGGAACCATTAACCCTCCACCTAATGAGGGAAGCAAGCTCAACTGATCAGTGAATCCATGAGATGTTTAAAAATCTCAAACACAGTCCCTATACACAAATAGGCAGACTGTGCATCTGTAAGTTGTCTTCATATGTGCATGAGACATTCCTTGAGAGTAAGTTGTAAGGAGAGCTTCTCCATGTGTCCTGAGGAAGAGCTTGTAACTCACAAGGAGGCAGCGGAGGCTTTCTCCAGGCCTTCAGTACCATCTCAGGGCTGCATTACCTTAGGCTCCTTTATGTGTGGGTGCAAGAGTCTAGTCTGGACTGACCTAGAGATACCACGACAGTAAAAACAGTTCAGTTCCCAAAGTTGCAAGGGTTGACTGAGGCCGGGCACCTACAGTCTGTGCACACCACACATCATATACCCCGAGATCCTGGAGTATCATTTTAAAAAGTCAGCACACTCCAGACTTCCATTCAAACAATCTGGACCTTCTTTTCAGCAGCCCAGATATCCTGCCTTGATTCCCTACTCACCAAGACTTCAAGGGAATTCTGCAAGAATGAAAAATTAGTCTCGTAACAAAGTAGCAAAACAGGGTCCACATTCTTGCTTTAACCAGCTTCCCTGTGTTTCACCCAGTAACACGATAGGCTCAGCCGGCGGACTATGAGGTAGCGTCTCACCAAGTGTCATGGTATTTTATTAAGTTTAGAAATGCGATAGCTACTGTTGTCACACTTCAGTGTACAGAACAATTCATTCACAAATGAGAAAAACAGATCCCTCCGCAAATACCTTTCCCCTGACTTAATGCCCTGCATCACAGAACTGGAGTGGGCTGCATCAATATTACCCCAGCACGGCTCACAGCAGCTCTTGGAAGGGGGGCTTGAAAACTAGGGAGGGTGGAGGAGAGAGAGAGAGGGGTGCCAGCAGAGATCTGCTCTTCAGCCACTTGGCTCCAATTATGTATGGAGATGTACACCCCAGTGATGGGCTGATAAGAGGACTGATGAGATGGGAGCAAGAAAAATGTGTGTCTTTTTTGAGAATTATCTAAAATAAATGCTGCAGAAAATCTTGTGATTATGGACAAGAACTATCTGTGGTATTTTGCCATTGATAGCAAGTCAGGTTACTTGTCTGGGTGGTTTTTTTTCTTTTTTTGAAAGGGACTAGTTTAAAGTAATTCATAAAACTCATAATTGCATAAGGAAGCAAGACAAATGCTGTGGTTTACAGAATACTGAAGTATTTTGGTTACCTGCAGTTGTTCTGACCTCAGAGTCCTGTTGCACCAAGTGCTTTTACCTCTGTTGAAAAATCAGCCAGAACAAAAGACAGTGTTCATCAGCTGGAAGGCATTCTGTTTTGTTCTTACCTGCAAGGGTCATGGAGAAAGGAGATTGAAGCTGGTGGGAGAAGCTTCCTGAATTTTCTTTCTAATCTTAATGCTAAGACTAGAAAAGAAACCAAAGAAATAACATTTCTCACATTTTTGAGGCAAGGCCTCCACCATTCAAACAATGAAGAATTTTGGAAGATAAGATCTGGAGCAGGCTGAGCTCCAAGTGTATATTCTGATTAAATTTCCTGTGCATAGATTTCCTCGTTACTGACACATATTATTCCTTAACTCTGTCTGGGGCTGGGGCTACGAAAGAGTGCTGCCAGCAGGGCTTCAGCCAGGCTTCTCTGCACATCAAAGGGACCTCAGCCCCCTCAGAACAAAGGACAGCAGGACAAGCATCTCTGGAAATTCATTTGGGACAGATCTTCTCCCCTTGTAATTATGTGGCCATACACCGTCCAAAGCAGGATTCCCACAGGGGAAAAGGCTGCCAAATCTCTGCCTTATCATGCATACAGAGTTTAGGAAACACAGTTTTCTTGGCTGAAACACAAGCATCTCTCTACCTCCTGTCTACACAGGAAGGAATTTCACTTACTGTATTATTCAAGAGCTGTTGTGCCCTTAGATAACAGCAGATCTCACGCACACACTCTGTCTATTCGTATTTTGTGCAAGTGCTACGTGATACTCATTCCTAAGTGTTAACTGGCTAGACTATACTGGACAATAGTAGTAGTATCTAAGATTGTATCTCCTTAATATTATCCTTAAAGTAACTTTTCATTACATTCTTTCAAAATTTTGTTCAAAGCATTTACTTACTGCTGTTTTGTTTTTCACATGCTCCTCAGGACTGTGACCAGATCCACATAGATGATGTATCATCAGATGATAATGGTCAAGATCTAAGGTACGGGATCTCCAGGCTCAAAGTCTCAGGTCAGGTAGTCCCCAGCTGCTTGAAAATAGCAGGGAGCTGGTCAAGGATGTAAAATAACATTCTCAGCCACTCACCCTCTCCCCTCTGTGGCTCCATGCTGTCTGCATTTATTAAGCACGCAAAAGCACAGAGTCCCCTTTTGCACATGAATATGCCTGTGCCTACTGTCAAGCCCTGACTAGACTAAGCTTTGAACCATTCTGGGAAATGCATCTAAGACTAGGTTGAACACCAGTCAGACTACACCCCTTTCTGCTAGGATTTGGCCAGCCACTTGGCACAGGTGTGGCCAAAACACTTCAAAACCAAACTGAAAGATTTCCTAATGCCCAATCTGCAATGAGTGGCCTTAGTAGTGAGGGCTGTGGACCTTGCCAGAGCCTTGTCACTGGGAGAAATGTGTACCAGAACTTCACTAAATGTGTGAGTTAGATCATCATGTACATATAAACATATGATCTAATGCATGGCCAGAGCCTGTTTATCAATATAGCCAAGCAGTCAGAAAGAGAACCCCAGAATTTTCTCATTTAGGATTGTGAATGTTTCTGTAGATACCTTAGCAGCCCGGGTGAGAGGCAGGTGAGGAATCTCAGTGAACTTGAGGATGGTCAGATGTGTTGTAGTCCAGAGAACCTCAGAACTGGCTGGGAGTGCTAAACAACCTGTGTTGTGTTTGCAATAAGAACATTTTTTAAGTCTGTGCTAGTAACCATGCTAGAGATGAACTCCAGCTGGGTGTCCTGCACGTATCTCTGCTGCCACTTGTCTCCACGTTTCTTTTCAGTTGTTTCCACTCCCTGCTGGCACTGTATAGACTGTAATTATACTGACCTCTCCCCTTCCCTCCTCCCTTTCCCAGCACATATAACTTCTCTGCGGATGGCTTTCACAGTTCAACTGCCAGCGCGAATCTGTGTCTGGGTTCGGGTGTCCATGGGGGAGTTGACTGGATGAGGAAATTAGCATTCCGCTACCGTCGCGTGAAAGAGATGTACAACACCTACAAAAACAATGTAGGGGGTAAGTGGCTGTGGCCAGGCAACAAGCGTGCCTTTCATCTTCCCAAATAACTTTTGACCCTGCTGGGGACATGCTATGGAGGAGGTGTAGAGAGCATCATGATGAGAATAGTTCATGGTGAGCTGAGCAAGTGTTGCAGCAGCCTGCACAGGATTCACAGATGTGCTAAAATACCTGGTTTAGTGGTCTGGCAGGAAAGCCAAAGAAATCTACCATTTTCCAAAATGTTTAGTAAGCAAGCAAATAGCTCAAAGCTAAATACGGGGTGTTTTTTTTCCACAGAACATATGACTGATCTCTGTCTCAAGGAACTCTTACAACTACTTGTTTTTATCTCCCCCAAAACAATACCGCCACGTATCAGGATGTCCTGGATTCCTTCATCTCAGCTAGTTCCTGACAGTTCTTCCAGCAGGCTGCTTAGCCTCTCTTCTAGAACATCAGTGTCAGGTCTCTGATTAGAAAGAGGAAAAAGCAAAACTCAAAGAGTGTCACCACAACCATTTTTTGGTTGGAGGAATAGACTACCCGCATGTACCGGAATGGTGCATAGGTTTTCAGGAGAAACAAACCCATCCTGGCTTCAGATATTATTACACAGCTCTGTCATCCAAGAAAAGGGCAGCGGGAGAGCGAGGGCGCAGGACACAGACAGAGCCCTGTGGCCTTCTGCAGGCAAAGCCCCGCAGCTCCCTCGCTGTGCTTCTGCAAAGATGCTTTCCCTGCTTACAGGTTTAATAGGAGCTCCCAAGAGGGAAACCTGGCTGCAGTTAAGAGCAGAACTCGAAGCGCTGACTGATCTCTGGCTCACACATGCTCTGAAGGCACTGAATTTGATACATTCCCGGTAAGAACAGCTTAAAGAATTGCCTACAGGCTTGATCCAAGATCTCCTTTGCTTCCCCCTCTAAACAAATCAAGACACACTTACAGGACTTTAGTGGCCAAACTAGCAGACTGCGGGAGGCCAGTCTGCACACGTTTGCCAGACTTGTATTGTCCAAGGCTGGGGTGAGCTTGAGATGATGAACAAAAAAGAAAACAGTCCTTTTTCTTGCCTCTCCTTGGCTACCTCATCTATGGCACACTTGTTGTGTGAGCAGATTTACTAAAGAGTTGGAAAGGGAGAAAAGGGCCTTCTATCCCTGAACACGTTCATTTGAAGAACCCAGCTCAGACACAACTACGTGGTGTTTAAATTCCTGCAAAATAGATGCTGGCATGCACGTGGTAAGGCTGCAACGCTGCTGCTAGTTTGGTTTATGTTTTTTTCATTCTACTAAGTTGCCAGAAGGATGTTACCAGTACTCACATTATCTGGCTCTAGCTGCATCATCTCCCAGCGGCTTGAGAACTTCCAATTGCAAGAAAGGTTTGCTTCCTGGCATCTCTCAGTCTCAAGTAAAAGAGAGAAACAGAGATTGCCACTTCTGCTAACTTTTGTTTTCTAGGCCTAACTGTGTGAATGTCTTGGTCACTACAACTCAGCTTATACCAGCTCTCGCTAAAGTGCTTCTCTATGGACTGGGCACTGTCTTCCCCATTGAAAACATTTACAGTGCAACAAAAACAGGTAAGAGCAAACTACCTTAGGCTGGTGACAAAGATAAACTGAAACTTTGTCCCTGAATCAGGAATATCCATCCAACCTGATCACAACAGGCAATGTACAAGCTCTACGTTTAGCTCTGTGTTTACACACCTCTAATTCACATCCTGACTGCCCACACTTAAACTAGTACAGACTGCAAAAAGAAAAAACAGGGAAAGTCTTCCCAGGTGTCTCCATGGGGAGGTGAGCCTGAAAAATACCCCCCTGTGGAGCATCTGCTGCATGTGGGATGTTCAGCTGCACCCACCTCGGGGGAAGACACTCTGCTTGGACCTCTTACATACAGAAACACTGTTTGGATCCTCTCATTCTTGCAGAGAGATCACATGTGCTGATTGATCTTTATAAAAACTAGTAGGGTGTGGGCTTGTTTTTTGTTCTGTCCTTTCTGCTGTAAGTGTTTGAACCTCTGAGGTTTGTACCTTCATGTTTTTACTGCAGCCAGAACAAACAGAAGAGTGCTTTTGAACTGAATACGCTGAGTGTCATATCAATCTACCAACTGCTGGTCTAAGCAGCGCATCAGTCACAAAGCTTATGGAAAACTGTCAGTGCTTGAAGTTCTTGCCTGATAAGGAAAATGCTAGTAACTGTCATGAGATAGAGAGAATCTATCTCAGATAAAGATTTCAGTTAAGTTCTAATTTCAAAAGAAAAATGAGGAATGTAGCAGCAAGTTCAGTGAGGTCCCAACTCCACTTCCAGTAGCTGAATGTCAGTCCCACCTGCTGTATGTGTCCAGATTAAAAAAAATGTTTTTTCTTCTATTGCTAAAGAGAGCTGTTTTGAAAGAATAATGCAAAGGTTTGGAAGGAAGGCCGTGTACATTGTAATAGGAGATGGTGTTGAAGAGGAACAGGGAGCAAAAAAGGTACAGTTTGTGGATGCCATGCTGGATTCTCCCAAGTTTTCGTTTTAATGACCTTTTCTTTACTTAAGCATTTAATGAAGCTCCTTCACAAATAGGCAGATTACAGTTGGTCTCATTTTACAGTTGGTCTCATTTCTTAATATGCAAAATACTCAGCAACCTTGTGAGAAATTTCATACTGTAAATCCCCCCCCACATTGGCAGCTCGTGCAATTTTTCAGGTAGTCACTGTGTCACATGTTCCAGGAATCATTCTTGCTTAATAAAGATGCCTTTAAGCACGTGAAAAGGAAAATTCCAGTGTGTGATCTCAGATGAGCAAGCAGGGCGAATTACTGATCTACACAAGTTGCTTTTGTAAATTCCAGATTATAAGAATTACTTTTTTAATTACTTATTAGAATATGCATATATACATACATGTGTTTATATTTACGACTTATTGATATCATAACATGTAACATGATTAGAGTGACTACCAAAGGACTAGTACTGAGCTGCTGCCTTTTATCAATGATTTAAAGATCAATGTGATTAATTTCACAAGCAACATGAAATTAGGAACATGTACTGAATACAAAGTGGAACAGAAATGGTGAAAACAAAATGGACAGGAATAACAAACAGGCCCTCAGTAATATCTCATGCTCACTGACACGGGCAGCCTTAGGAAGAGTTAATGGGAGGAACCTGTGTGGCCAGTTGAGTCCTCCAGGCATTAGTATGCACAGTCCACTCATTGGAAAATGAGAACTGGAGTTTTAGGGACCAGTTGAAGCTTCGTTGTTTGGAGTAGGCTGTAAGAGGAGAGAAGCTGGAGCCCCAGAGCATAGAAGAGCAAAATCTGAGAAGACCGAAATTGATGATCTGAAGAGAGGGTGGGGGAACACGGACAGGGAATGGGCTGTACACAGCCGGGAATGCCTCCTGCCAGGTACATGGGGTATCGGTGTAGGAATGGTAGAAACATGGAGAGCAACAGAACAACCAAAGACCTGAAGGAAAGCAGTCAGATACATAAACTGAATTGTGCAACAGGAGAATTGAACAGCCAAAGTTTTAATTTCCTGAACTTCAGAACAGAAGCTTGCCTGGAATCTCCATTTATTTGGCTTTACAAGGACAGGAATACAGTTTATTAGTGGCAGATGTTATTTGCAAGATGTCTTTGTACATCCTAGGTCTTGTGCTCCTGAAGTGACTTACTGGAGAAATATAAGTGAGATGTGTTTGCTTCACCTCAACGTGAGTTGAGATGCAGGAGCTGACTGCATGAGTCCCATCCATCTTCAGCAAACTAGTCAATTTTTAATAGGTGCACAGATGACTGTGGTAGCTCAGGATCACTGGAGTACAAAATACTACATGACAGGAACTGACCTATGCAGCTGAACCTTGTGCTGGAAGACCTGAGATCTCATTCCAAATTAAGATCCTGCAAAGACTTTCCAGGCAAATTTGAGCAAATTCGCTCCAAATTACCATGAGCAAAGAGATCCTACCAAATAAGGTGCTGGGCATATATCCTACCCCCAGAATTGTATCTCAGGTTGTCTACAAGGCAGAAGGAACCCTCTTTTTTGTAATGTTATTTCCTCTGGCCACTGGAAGCAACAGTAGCCACATCTACCTTGAAAAACTAGCTCTATCTGCTGATGGTTCTTCAGTTCACGAAGGGTTAAGGAGTTGTCAGAGAAAAGTCCCAACTGCATGGCTGGCAATGAAGTGATAATAGCCTGCTGCTTTTGACAGCCCAGTGCCTACTTCAAAGGCAGTGGGTCAGTGAACATGACTGCATCAAAGGCTGCCAGGGCTCAGGGGCTGGTTGAAGAAGTGGGAAGGTTCAACAATCTCCTGTGCCAGGATTTCAAGAGCTCTCCTGCTTGTCTCCTGGCCTAAGCAGCTCTCCCATTAGTAGAGCACATTCTTTGCTGGGCTGTCACCTCCTTTGATTGATGACAGCAATCATTAGTCAAGGCTTCTACACACCTGAGCTGTATACAAAAAAAAAAGGAGGGGGGAGGCACAGGCAGAGACCCTTTCACTGTTTTGCTGACAGCACTGATAATATCTCCATTTTAGTGGGTCATTTTTCTTCACCTGTCTGATGAGTGATAAATCTGTAAATGCTGAACAACAGGAGTGGCTGGGAGGCCAAGTTTTCTTCTCATTTAAGAAAGAAAAGTAGATAATTTAATGGATGGAGTTTAATAAGCAGGGGAGAGGGAGGGAGAAGGAAATAACTTCTCCCCTCAAAGAGAAATTGCAGAGCAATGGATTCCAGTCACTTCAGATGTCCGTGTTCACTTGCTGTCTCTGCATGCACCGATAGACAGTTTCAAGGAAATAGTTGGTTACTGATAGGGAACAGAAAGAAGCTTGAGTTGTATTTAAACATTAGAGGAGTATGTAAATAGACACCCTGTAAAACAAACATTTGGAACCAGTGGAATTTTTTTCACACAGGTATGTATACTTGGAAAAGGAACATCTCCCTTCACCAGACTCATCTGTGTAGGGAGCACATAGTCCTACAGCTTTGTCTAAGCTATTTATCCAGAAGCAGTATGTCTACAGTTGAATTATTTACAGTTCTAAAATACTCAGAAATTTTATTCCCATGCTAGAAGGGAGGCTTTCTGTACAATTGTTACTGCGTACATATTGCTGACTCTACAGAGACCAGTGTTTTGGGATGAAGCTGAGAAAACCACAGCCCCAAATGCTGTTGTAAAATGTAAGTGCAGAAATGAGCTGTGACTCTGCTCTAAAGTAAAATTGCTTCAACTGTTTTGGAGAAGAAACAAAGCCAGCTCAAAGCCCAGGCTCACCAGAACATACCAAGAAAAGTTGTATTTGACATCTAAAAGCAAGTTCTGTTTTGAGGTTATCTCTTTGGAGGCAACCCCTGGGATCTCAGCTGTTGCTAATGGTTGCAGAACTATGTTGTTACAATTATGTTTTCAGAGTACTCTTTGTACTTTACCAGATCAACAATTTCTACCTCGGGTCCCCTGCTTGAACTGCACTTGTTTCTCAGCACTATTGTCCCCTTTGAGGCACAAGTCTTGTTTTTGTAGAGTATATTCACAATTTTGGAGAGATTAATTGGGATATTGGAAAGAAGATATAGTAGGTCACAGGTAGTTGACCTTTCCAGATATTGTACAAAAGCTAAGATTTCAAGTGGAATTGGCTGGTTAGAACTTGAACTTTTGTATACGTGACTTACAATTTATCACAGTAATTTAAATTGTAAAACAAGGAATCAGGAGAAGAATATAAGACAGTGTCTCAAAAACAGGAATTGGACAAGGTTTTTGGGGACAGGCTGTCTTAGTGTTGCACCTTTCAGTGAGGCAGCAGTGGTACCCAAGTATGAGCAATGATGCCAGTTCCTATATTCCCAGAAAATGCAGTATGACCTGCTGTTCCAGTTCACTTGCAAAGGGAATTGATAGGAAGCATGTCGACTCTGTGACATTTTATTCTCGTTTACCTTTTTGTCAATTTTAATAACTCCTTTTTACATTAGATATCATTCACTTGTCTGTGAAGCGGTTAACAGCTTTCACTAGTGATGTTCACCTAAAATTGTTTCTAGACATATCTAGACACGCAGTCCTAGTCTTAAAATAATTTTAAAATAGGAGAGTAAAGTTTAGTAGCTATTACCTTTGGAAAGGCAGCCCACATCCTTGATCATCTCTGAAGCAGGACACTCCTAAATTGTGGAGGATCTCTCTTCCTCTGTGGACAGGAGAAACGTCCCAGCAAAGAGACACATCCCACTCCTCCCTTCCTCCCAATGAGCCTCCTTGCCTGTGACACCATGACAACCTGGTGGCCCAAGTACAAAGCTCTATTCCTGAGGGTGCAAAACTTAAGAAAGTTGTTTTGATCTCAGTATTAAACAAAAACCAAAAAATACCCTCTTTTGGTTTCACTCTAGCACAACATGCCATTCTGGAGAATCTCTTGTCACGCTGACCTGGAAGCTCTTCGTCACGCCTTGGAACTTGAATATTTGTAGCAGACCCCAACATCTTAGCACTGTGAGGGCTTCACTCAAACTATTACATCGGTTCCACCTATTCCTCAACATTTTCTTAGTAAAAAAAAAAAAATCCCACAGCAACTGCAGTTTTTCTTTTCTTTGAAGGAGAATCCTTTCAGTGGAATCCTTTAAGAACTTGCAGCCAAAGAACATTGTATCAAGTCTTTCTTCCTTTGGACAGAGGAAAAGCCTTCAGAGAACTCGCTGGGGATGCTGCAGTTACACGGTTAAGCCGGACGCACGGAGCTGTAACTGCCTGATTGCCGTCAACGACAAACTCTAGAAGCCTTGGGTCTACTTGTCATTTTTCTTGCTTTTGAAAGGGGAAGAGGACACAGTAAGGAGTCTCTGCACAGGACATCACATCACATGGGACCTTCTGACAAAATGAGTGAAACTGTTGATTTTTTTTTTGTATTTTTTTAATTTATGAACTAATCTCATTACTCTGGTATTAAGCTCTGTACCTGTGTTTTTAATCTGGCTTTTTGGGGTGGGTGGGTGTGGAAGGTCTTACCATTCTAAATTAATAGTTCATTTCTCCAGACCAAACTGGGGAGAATCATGTTGTGTACATTAATAGTGAGGACACATGGTACTGTTGGTAAGAACTATAGCTGTGTTTTTAAATCTTACGTAGATGGTACGTGGACTGTGCATGTGTCTACACGGTGCCTTATGCTGCCATCATGGTTTTGGGGGCTGGGGGCGGGGAAAAGTACCTTGTGATGAGTGAAAGGCATTAAATAAAAACATGTTTACATTTTGGGGGACTAGATTACCTGCCTTCTCTTCTCTCCAGCCACTCTTGGATGTAGAGCTATACGCAGAGCACACACTCCCCATTTCAAGGTGGCGTTAGGCTAGGAGGACTCTGAGCAGAGCCCCTCAGGTGCCAGCTTTCGGTCTCCTGGTGGGGCAAAGGCTGAAGACAGTGACGGTGTCTGCTGGGAGAGAACGTGGGCACCCAGCAAATCTCGCTTGTCCTGCAAAGGAAGACGAAGTGCCAGCAAATTCTGCACGTGTGCATATTTATTTTTATGTAAATAAATGCATCTACAAGTAAGCTTCAGCTTTAGGATCTCTGCTGAGCTGGCCTGTTCATTCTTTTTCTCAGAATATTTTAGTTCTCTGGGCCTCTAAGTGAATCTCTAATTCACTTTCAGAACTGCTCATTTTTGCTTGCTGTGGCACCAAATAACCTCAGAAGGATCAGAGCCCCACTGGAACAAAGTGTTAGAGAGATGCCACAAGTCGTATGCCTTAACTGTCGTGTGAGCATCAAGATCAAACAAGCAAGGGCTACCCAAGTTACAAGTGTGAGACAAGTGCTGTGTAAGCCTGGGTGTCTCTTCCAACTGAAACTGTTCTCTGATTCTACGAATCCTGATGTCTAAAAACATTTAACCTTAGGAAACGTATTCATTGCTAGATCTGAAAGAGAATTTTCTGCCAGACTAAAACAGAAAATCCAATCTCAGTCTGAACTGTCTTCAGCTCAAAAGGTAGCAGCCACGGAGCAGCTATAAAACACATTAGCTGTACTTGTCAACAGCAGACATGACCAAAACCCATCCCTTAAATCACAGAATCATAGAATGGCCTAAGCTGGAAGGGACCTTAGAGATCATTTTAATCCAGCCTTCCTGCCGCCAGGGACGCCACCTCTCGACTACATCAGGCAGTTCATGGGGACCAAACGGGAACCCAACCCGCGACCTTAGCGTTGTTAGCGCCACGCTCAACTGACTGAGCTAACCGGCCCCCTAAATACACACTTTGAGGGTAAAGAGTTGCTCTCAGCTGAGAACTACACAAAATAAAATGCAATTTTTCTAGCAGAGGTGTTGCTTGTCTCAGGGCCTGCTGAGAGAAGCAAGTCTGGTAGAATTTTTCCCTCGAGGTTTTCCAGCTGTAAGACTGTCACAGACAGGAAGTTTCACCACAAGTCAAAGAAATCAAACTCGATGGAGAATTGACTGATGCTTGCAAGATAAGCGCACCTGTAAATAAAACCTTTGAAAAAGGAACAAATGCCAATTTGTGCTAAGAAAGCACAACTTCAGCTTTTAACACCTTGTCAATCAGCTAATTGCTCTTCCTTGAAATTCCAATTTTAACACCTGCCTTAATTGAGTCAATTATCTGAGTACTAACTATTTTTTTTTTCCCAAAGCTTCTTAGACAGTTTTGCTTTCTGAATATACTTAAAGATTCTCAAACTCTCTTGTTTCTGCCTCCAAAGTTCTTAAGCAGAGCTTTGGGCTTCTTCTCTTAGTGCCTGCTCACGCTCCACGTACCATTGCTGTAAGTGATTTCTCCATGGATCTTGCTTACTCACAGGTAACGAGGCTGACGAGGGTGCTGTACCTCTGCCTTAGGAACACTTGTTTGTCAGACACACGTACGTCACTTCGCACGGAGGTGCTGGGGCCTGGCATCCCAACGTGCAGGTTCTTAGTAGGGGCTAGAGTCATTCTTCCTGCTGCCGTGTTATCTTTTCCTTCTCCTCTGGTGTTTCCCCATCATCTCTTCTCTGTCAGGACCTCCCTCACTTACTGTGCTTGTTCTTAAGGAACATACTGTGGGCTTTATCAGAGCCAAGGTTTTATCCCTGAAGTTTAAATTAGCTTCAGTGTTATTAGAGCTTCATATCTAATAATACTCAACAGATTTTATTTAGAAGGCACTGTGCAAAAATTTATCATCATAATTCAAAGTATCCTTCCTTTTCCACTTTTCACCATAAGGTTTTCTTGCATGCCAGGATTCTAAATAAGAAGATAATCTATTATTTTTAAAAGACAAAATTTGATAACGAACTATTTATTTCAATATGTAGTGTGAGTAGAACAAAACCTGGAAATTCTTTACTTTTTCCCAAGTTTCAGCTACCTGTGTTGTTGAAGAATGTACAGAGAGCAATAGCAGCCTGAGGTGTGAATGCCCTTTATCTCGAGAACAGGGAACTTACAGTGAGAAGTAACAAAGAAATCCACTTCCTGGAAAACTTGGAACCCCACTGTGGCTTGCCACACGGCACACACGTAACACACTCCTTTTGCAAAAGCCTGATTCTGAATTTTGCAGGCTCTGATCCACACCTGCTCTTCTCTCATCCTCTTCAGGTGAAGGAGTGAAACAAAACACTTTGCACACACACACATTAACCTTATCCTTATCCTTAGGGTCTCTGCAGCCACCTGCTGTCAGCTGCCGCTCCTCATAAGTCATGGAGTGCAGCACAAAGTAACTATTGCTCTTAACAACCAGAAGAGCCAGTGCAAAACACCACAAGAGAATACCCTCAAACTTCTTCCTTCTGCTAAACCAGAACCTGGATCCGAATCCTTTCTGAAAACAGCTTTGAAAAAAACCACGCTTGGGCCTTGCCCAGCTTTGAATCATTGGGATGCAACAGCAGAATATCGCATTTTCTCAAATAACCAGAAAGCCACAAAGAAAACGGTTGCGAAGACACACGTCCTGGGTGAGGAGGGAAAAACAAACCCTGGGAGTCGCGCTGCGCACCCAGTCGCTGTGCCGCATCTTGCCCGCAGCTCTGCC